CTACATAAAGTATCATATTGTCAGCAAATAATAACAATTTAACTTCTTCCTTTCCTATCTTTATTCCTTTTATTTCTTTCTCTTTTCTAATTGGTGTGGCTAATGTTTCCAGAACTATATTGAATAGGAGTGGTGATAGTGGGCAGAGAGATGAATTCTAACATAATAATAGTTTAGAACCCAAACATCTCACTTTTGTCAATCAAGAAGCAGAAAGAGGAGGAGAAGCAGCAGCAGCACAGTTGAAAGGCAGGTGTTATCATGTAATACTGAGGAATGGCTATCGTTCTAGCAGCCAGCATAGCTTTGAGCTTTGACCAAACAACTGAACTACTGAAAATGATTTGGGTCCAGGGAAGGAAAGTGAGATACAGAGGTCAAGAATCATTGGCCGTTTCACTTGAGCCATGACAATAACATCCCCAATGTTTCTCTACCTTCCTCCTGACCCTTCTATGAAATCAAGTAGACACAGGAAAAGTTTGGAATAATTTTTTGTTCAAGAATTCTCATTATGGAGTGTTTGAGAATAGGTCCTTCTTAAGTCAGGCTGTAACATGTTATCTTATTGCTGATAGTGACTCTTTTTCAAGGGATATGTTGTGAGAACTTCTGTATTATCAAATAGTCATACCTAGGAACATGACAATGTTCAGAGGACTGGAAGAAAAAGTTTAAAAAAGTGGCATAGTTCCTTGTTATGGTTTACATCTGGATGTCCCCTAAAAGCCTCATGCACTCATAGGTATGGATTTGGGGATGTGATTGGATCATAGAGCATGATACTTGTCTGTAGATTAGTCCACTAATGAGTTTATAGCTAAACAGGATTTGGGAGGTGAAGCCTGGTTGGAGGAGGTGTGTTACTGGGGACATGGCCTGGAAGGGTGTATCTCCCTCATTCCTCCTTTGATCCATCTCTCTGTTTCTCACTGACAAGTGATGAGCTATTTCTCTTCTACCATACCCTCTGCTGTGCTACCCGGCCTGGGAACCAGCTGACCATGGACTGAAATTGCTACAAATTGTGAGCCAAAATAAATCTTTTCTCCTTTAACTTGTGAGTTTCAGGTATTGTGTCTCAGCAACAAAGAAAGTAATTAAGGCAATTCTGTCCACAGGAGAAAATATAGGACACAGTGGACCTCATGGGGGATTACGTTCCTAGAACACCTGTGAACTGTGAAAAACTGCAAATTTCAGTTATGGTCAGAAAAATGCCTATTTTTATAGTTTAAACCCTAAATGTGCTATGTTTCCCACAGCTATGTAATTTAATAAAACACTGTATTAATAAAGCCTTAGAAAGTACAGGGCATTTTGGTGGCATCTTAGGGATCTTAGAGCTTTAAGAAGAACAAAACCGAGAACACTTGAGATAGCTACGTGCGATACTGCAACCTGGTATGATGTGGGGAATGCTGGTGCATCTTCTGGAGATGGATTACAGGACAGCAGCCAATCAGCAGTGAGGAGAACTGAATTACGCTCTCAGATTGGCTACTTGGAAACTTTCTGCCAAAAAAAAGAATTGTGAGATTCCCAGTACCAAAAAAAAACCTGCTTAAAATATTTGTGATTTCCACAAAATTGAGGGAGTTTCCGTGAACAATTACTAGTTAGATTCTAAGGAAAAATCCATGAACAAGTGAAGTCGCGAATTTTGAACACAACTTCATGGGGATATACTGTATTATTAACTTGAAGCAAAATAAAGGATTGTTTACCAATAAATTCCCTGTCTATACCCATCAAAATGGATCCCTTTGATGGGATCAAAGGAGGAATGAGGGAGATACACCCTTCCAGGCCATGTCCCCAGTGACACACCTCCTCCAACCAGGCTTCACCTCCCAAATCCTCTTTAGCTATAAACTCATTAGTGGACTAATCTATGGACAAGTATCATGCTCTATGATCCAATCACATCCCCAAGTTTGGACATGCCTTTTATATAGAATGGCTGCTACTATAATAGATTTTTTTTTTTTTTTTTAGTACCAGGGATCAAACTTGGGTCCTTGAGCTTGCACAGCAGGCAACGAAACCTATAACAGATATTTAGTGGGTTACCTAGATTCTTTTGTGACTATCAGCACTTCCTCAGGGTTAAAGGGAATTCTGACTTTACACTACACTATTTTTGGCATCAAGCCTATATATACCTTAGACAATTTTAAGTATGTGTTTTATATATGGTTTATAACATATCTGTGAAATCAGGTGAGTCCTGTGCAGTCAGTGGAGATGAACTCTTAACAACTTCACAATATTAGATCATTAAACTTTTTTTTTTGGTACCGGGGACTGAACTTGGGTCCTTGCACTTGCAAGGCAGGCACAGAACCACTGACCTAAATCCCCAGCCCACTTCACAATATTAGAGCAGAACTTGCTCTACAGGACAGCCTGTTATGGCTTGTATCTAGATGCTCCCCTAAAGCCTCATGCGGTCACAGTGGGGGTTTTCAGAGGTGGCTGGATCTAGAGTGTGTGATACAGGAATTAAGGCTGTGATGCTGAGACTGATTCATGGTGCAATGCTAGGATTAAGGGTGTCCCTCCCTGAGGGGTACTACCCACTGTACAGTGGGTGCTACCCACCACAAGGGCAAGTAGCCTGGATACCATATAAGGGACAAAAAGAAGGCTGCTGTTGTCACTTACTGGTTCACTACTTCGCTGCTTTGTTGCCTTCTGCACAGCATGAACTGCTTCTGCTCTGAGATGCCCCTCTGCCATGCCACCCTATCTTGGATCCAGCCAACTATGATCTGAAGCCTCTATAACAAACTGTGAGCTACAATAAACTTTTCCTCCTTTAACTTTGGGTGTTGGGTATTTTGTCTCAGCAAAGATAAAAGGCAGAACCTAAGATATATATTTTTTTCTCAAAATCTGTATAAATGTTTATTATAGTTGACAATAAGTGGTTCTTAATGTGAAATAATATGACTAGTCAGACAATGTATGTGAACAGATGTGCATGTATTGGTCAAATGTTACATGAAGGAGGTAAATGTGCAAGAAGTTCAAGACATGGTCAGAGAGAAAACTAGTTCAAATATCCCTGAATCTACAGAAAACATTTCAACGCATCCTATGGGAAGTGTGCAACATAGTGCTGTCTATATGATCAATGGCCCAAGTCTTGGGAAGTATAAGAGCCATGTATTTCTCAGTGGTGTCTGTACTGCTAAGAAAGCAACCATTATCCATACCCAATTTTTCAGTTCTTGTGGCTCATGAGGTTGGCCCCAACATAACATGACTTATAATTGTTAGGGCCAGAACCTCTGTACAATGCAATGAATTCATTATTGTAAATGTGAGCTTCAGCAGTTCAGCTTCCATTACTTTCACCAGCTGTTATATAAACACAATGGGTATTTGTTTAATAAACCTGAGCTCTAAAGCTCCTCTGGAAAGCCATTTTGTAAGAACAAGATTGAATAAAGGAGAAGAATGTGACTGTGGCAGCTTCATTATCAGAATGATCACTGTTGTCTGCTCTCATGCTGACTAAAAAAGGGTTCATGGGCCGGGGATTTAGCTCAGTGGTTCCGCTGCCTGCCTAGCAAGCACAAGGTCCTCAGTTCGATCCCTGGTACCACCCCCTGCCCAAAAAAGGGTTCAGATTATGCATTTGGATCCTAATGCAAAAAAATATAACTTTCTAAAAGAACTACATATTTCTACTTCAAGGTAGATGAGTATGACCTTTCAGTACTGTAATAGCACATCCACATGTTGCCAGACAGATACACACAAGCAAGGTGGTACCCTTGCAAAGAACACAGTTATGGTTACCAGGACCAGGGCAGAAACCTGGACAATCAGTGCAGTAAAATCTGGGGAAAGAGCACAGTGATTGCCTGGAAACACTGATATTATTACTAACAGAACAAGTTTGGAAAGGCCATGAGCCTGAAAGAATGTGTAAGGTTTTCAGCAAGTACAAGGGCAAAGATGTAAAATATTAAGACTGCTATGCAAAAGCATCCAAGGCTCCTACATACTGAAAAAAATTAAAAACTTAGCTAGTTCCCCAAGAAAGACATGAAGTATAGCAGTGTAGAGATTTTTGAAGCTGTAGACAGGGCTGATAAGGGGGAGATAAAAGATTGTAGTTCATGTGATCCATGGAAAATCTGTATCATCAAACCTACTTAGATATCATTGCACTTCACTATGACTGCAACTTGAAAAAGTGTCATGGGAGGGATGTTTGCAACAATTTTAAGAACTCCTTGTGTTTATGGATATATCTCTCCTAGGGCTATTGGAATAGTCTGAAGAGTGACCCAGCTCTACATATCACATGACTCTCAGTATGAGAAGAAACTGATAATCCTAATTTGGGTCTTGTTGAGAGTCTTATTATTTCTTATTCCTATTATCTTTTTGTCTGCCTACATCCACAGAATATCTAAGACCAGTATCAATGAAAATAAAAAACTCAACAGAGCAGCAAGATACTGCTCTTGACAAGCATTTTCTAATTACCTTTTTTTCAGATAATAGAAGCCAATACAAAGTAATACTAAAACGATCTTTTAAGAATTGGACTTGGGTCTTGGATTTAGCTCAGTGGTTCCACCACCTGCCTCGCAAGTGCAAGGTCCTGAGTTAGATCCCTGGTTTAAAAAAAAAAAAAGAGAATTGGACTTCTTAGGTCTGGCCCCCTTCAGGGACTATGGAGATGGGCATTCTTTCATGCTTCCATCTATTTTTCTATATGATAAATGCTTTTTAGTTCTTAAATTAAAAAAAAATCAAAGAAGCTCCCTGGGTGAGGTGATCTTTCTTGTTCTGTGCTACCCTGAAATCAGGTCCCAAACCAGAGCTTTGGGACAATGAGAAACCTCAAGATGTAATCTTGACAGAGTAAGGCCAGGTGGCCCTCCATAACGTCCATGAAGCACATGCCCTAAAACTTCAAGAACTATTACTGATTTACCTAATATTTCTAAAGAACTCCTCTGGAAAGATCTTTAGAATTTACTATTCAGAGAATCCTGCTTAATCTGGTCAATTTCTCTAATCTTAAAGATTTTACCTTGGAAAGAATTTATCATGACAGAAGTATCTGCCTATTAGTTCCAATGTCTTGGTTGATTATCATTCCAGTCATATTGTCCATTTAGCTTTCCCTTTTTTGGCAACATGGTACACGATGCTCAGATCTTAAACTGGCCTTGTTCATATCTTAACTGGAGAGACCAATATATTTGTTATATGATTTGAGAGAGAAAAAACAGGTGAGACAGACATTCCTACCTCTTAATGATGCTTTGTGATTTGGAAACTTTTTCATTTCCAAAAGGTTCAAATTGTACCTATTAGTCATTCATCATCACTTGCTCATTCATTCTATAAACATATGTTTTGCACTTGCTATTAGGTTGGACCATGTGAAATGAACTACCTGAGACATTTTTACTTATAATAATAGCAAGTTAATATAGGTCAATCTAATTTTACATGTCTGGGTATTATGAAACCAATCTTTTAATTCTGCTTGCAAATGAGAGTTGAGAGTTACTGCTTCATAAAGGATTTTTAAAATTTCAATTTTCCTTAAATTTTATTATCCTTGTGACTTCAAAAGATTGGTCTTAATTTTCTAGTATAGGATTTTCCTTTTGTTCAAGCCCTAAAACAGATCTAAACATATGAAACTAAGGGTCCTGCTGTCACTTTTTAAAATAATTGTCTTCCTAACTGCTTCTGAATTTCAAAACTCTTCAAAGAAAAGAAAACCAGATTCCACATTCACTCTCAGAAAATGCAATAGCAATCTCAAGACCTGAGCAAGTTGCTGCATGTCCCCCTCCTTGCACTGCAACAATGGAGTAGAGTCTGGAAAAGACATATATAAATAAGAACCTGGAATTTATTTTTTCTAGAAGAGACTTAGACAAATCTAATATCCATCAAAGTAGCATGAGTCTATCTCTTAGACAGAAAGTGTCTTTATCTCTATGAACAAAGTGTAACTGGAAAGATCCTTCCCAATTCACCTAGAATAGCTGCTAACTCTGGCACTATATTTCCTTTCAGTTCTGAAGTCTATGGCATGCTTAGAAAAGATGCATAACGTGTCCCCCACAACATTCTTTTCAATCGATTAGTGTGAAATAACTCCAGTTCCTGAATGTTCCAGTATTACAGTTTCAAAGAATGGTGGATGAGCTGGTAGCAAAAGCAACAGTGGACTCCAGTGGATCTAGGCCCCTGCTATAGACTCTCTTCTGTGAACATAACAATGGTGTTTGCGTATCTGCATCTCGCCGAGCCTCTTGCTTTAGTTGGTGGAATTTGTGCTGTGTCCAGCCATACACTCCACAGTTGAGCAGACCCTGGGATGTTGCTGTTAGAGCCTGGAGGAGATGAAGGAGTGATGGAGCCCATCCTTCAGGTTTGCAGAGATCCAGGAATAATACCCTTGACCCTTTTTTATTGGAGACAGGGCCTTGTTATACAGTTCAGGCTGGCCTTGAACTCACTATGTAGCCCAGGCTGGCCTCAAACTCGTGGCCATCCTCCTGCCTCAGCCTCCTGAGTGCTGGGATTATAGGCATGTACCACCATCCCCAGCTTGTTGGATAGCATTGGACTAGAGATGACTAAGATTTAGTCATATTCCTTAGTATACACAAAAGGTCAATGAAGTGGCTTCGATGCCCCTCTTATTGACCCATTTCTCAGAGAAAACTGCCCTATCAGTTAGATAGTCCAGAAGTCCCCAAACTGGCCTATACTTGGATAGTCTAAAAAGTTCTTCAGTCTGATAAAGGAGGAAAACAATAATCATTCCATTATCCCCCCTTCACTACCCACTTAATTTACTACCAGTGTTTCCTAAGAATATGCCCTGGTAGATATTGGGTTTTTATTTTTACTGCCCCCAAAACACATAAATAAAACAAAGTTGACCAGCGATACATATGCTCTGGAGTGCATTGTAGCACTTTTACTAAAGCATCTACCTTGCCTCTGAGAAAATTTTCATGGGTGTGGGGGGTTCCGGGGATCAAACTCGGTACCTTGTGCTTGCAAGGCAGGGGGTGGAACCACTGAGCTAAATCCCTGGCCCAATTTTCATATTTTTTGTAACTGAGCATTTCATAACTAAGCAAACAGAGCATAAATATGATCCCTTTTGCAATGTAGAAATAAATATCCTTAGAGGATAAAATTGTGCTTACTGAGTACTAGAAGTATAAGTGAATAGAATAAGAAAGCATAAGAACAGAGATTCTAAGTTTTGAAGGTGTTACCTGGAGAATATAGAGGGCCATATGCAGCTTGGTGTCCTGTGGCTTGGTGAGCTTTATGATCATCAGAATGATAGCTGTGAATACACAACATGTAAATTTTGCTGTTAGTTTTCACTGCATAAAGTTCTCAAATACAAATGCCTGGGCATTATTAGAAGGGAAGCTATAGGGCCAGGGATTTAGCTCAGTGGTTTTGCCGCCTGCTCCGCAAGGGAAAGGACCCAAGTTTGATCCCCAGTACCAAAAAAAAAAAAAAAAAAAAGAAGGGAAGCTATAGGCATATTGAAGCCCAGCAGTGAGACTAACCAGTTATGTAAACCACTGGGCCTTTCACCTCTGATTTCTACTCCTTATTGATTAAACTTTATGGATTGTTAGTGTGGTAGTGATGGAAATTTATACTATGGGAAGATAATCATTTACACTTCTTAGCATTTCAGATTTTTTCAAGCTCTTTCATAAACATTGTTTAATCTGATTTTTACAACAAACATATAGTAGGAAGGGCAGGTATTAATATCTAACTCCAGTCAGGACATTTTTCCTCTTATAAGCATGCATCTCATGCTTAATTAATTTCTAAATACGAAGAAAAAGTAGTTGGGGGGATTGGGGTAAACTGGAAATATGGTGGGACCAACATAAATTTCACAAGCTGGATGGGTATTTGTAGTCATCCATCCTGGTAAGAGCACCTTGCTTGATTAGAATCAAACAGTTGCCCTCTTCCTAATAAGGTACCCACCTGGGCCCCAGCAGCATAGGAAGGCCACCGGATAGAGGCGTACTCGCTGCTCCACAATATGAATCACTGCCCACTGTTCACTTCCCAGAAAGCCAGTTGACTTCACAAATTTCTTACACAATATCTGCGCTTGGATGAGTAAGACCTAAGAATGAGTATGGCAATGAGCAGTTTGCCTAACAGTAAAATTTCCTATCATTTTACAAGGATCTTTCTCTCAGCATCTCACAATAGGAAAGACCATTCTGTTTTTACCATCTGAAACTAAGCCTTTTTTTTAAGAGAGAGAGAGAGAAAATTGCTCAGAGTGAACTTATACTCAGCCAAGGAAATGAACAGATACTAGCCAAACTCCTGGTCATCATGTTCAATACATTAACCATACATCAACCCTGTAAACCACCCTTGGGCTAATTACAATATACACAGGAAGCTCTAATCAGGTCCTCTTTAAAATTTTTTATTAGAGATTCTGTTAGAAAGTCCTTTACACTTAATACCTTTAAATATCTTAGTACTATAGCTTAAATTCTCAACCCTAAGCAAAAGAAGTTTTAGAAAATCTTTTCTTGCCCTTAGACAAAAAAAAATGGATTATTTTACTCTTCCATTTGCCAGCATTTTGAGTAAGGTTCAAGTTATGAAAGAAATACAAATAAAAAAGAAAGAAAGAAAGAAAAGAAAAGAAAAGACAAATCAATTCAGAAGTCCAGTATAGTTTTTTCGTGGGGAGTAAACAGGAAATAATCTTGGTAGCAAATCTTACCAAATCTGGCTGGGGGTTTAGCTCAGTGGTTCTGGTGCCCGCCTCACAAGTGCAAGGACCCAAGTTTGATCCCCAGTACCAAAAAACCCAAAACCAAGTCTGAATTTTTTCCTAATAATCTAGATCCATTCTCTAACAACCCAACTGCCTAATCAAGTTCAGCCATAGTCTTCTTTCCACACAAACAGACAGAAGGATCAAAGAGAGGCTTGAATGTATTTGAGAATGTTTATGTCTAGAACAGTCAGTTAACCATTTGTTGATTTATTCTTTTTTTTTTTCTGGTACCAGAGATTGAACTCAGGACCTTGCATTTGCAAGGCAGGCGCAGTGCCACTGAGCTAAATCCCTGGCCAGATGTTGATTTATTCTTTCTTCCTGCCTTTCATCCTTTCTGTCTTTTTCTGTTTTTGATTTTTGTTTGCTTGTTTTTGGTGCCAGAGATTGAGCCTTAGGACCCTCTACCACTGAGTCACATCCCTAGCCTTTTTTTTTTTTTTAAATTTTGAGACAGGGTCTCACTAAGTTGTCCAGGCTGGCCTTAAACTTGCAATCCTCCCCTTGGCCTTCCAAGTAGCTGGGTTACAGGTGTGAGCCACTGTGCTCTACACCATCTGTTGATTTTTAAAGAATCCAGAAAGTGATTTCTCAATGCTCACTGAAACCTGGGTCAGTCTACCCAAGCAAACAATAATCTTCAGGGTGCCAGCCTTGGGGAACCCATCTATCTTGCCAACCAGTTCCAAATGTAAGCCATCAAAGCCATTTTAAGATAATCTCTCTTTTTTTTTAAGACAGGGTTTTACTATGCAGTCCAGGCTGGTCTTGAACTCACTAGGTAGTACAGGCTGACCTTGAACTTGCAGTGATTGTCCTGCTTCAGCCTCCTGAGTGCTGGGATTACAGGTGTGCACCACCATGGCCAACTCACTAATTACTCTTTACAAAGCTGATGATTTGAGCTATGCTTAAACTTACTTTTAAATTGTCAAAGGAAATTACCTCTTAATTACAAATGGTTTATAGGTGTTGGAAAACAAAACACTGTTAGGATAAATTTGGTCTGTAGGTAGTTTGTAATTCCTGAACTGAATATAAGAATAGGAGAAGAGAAAATGATACTGAAAATTAAGTAGATATGGAAAATTAAAAAGGCACATTTTCTTGTTTACTAGTATAACTTATTTTTTGTTTGTTTTTTGTTTTTGTTACTGGAGATCGAACTCGGATTTTTGTGCTTGCGCAGCAGGCGGCAAAACCCCTGAGCTAAATCCCCTGCCCTTAGTATAACTTATATCACCTGGTGGATTATTTTAATTCTACATCATTCTGGTGGTATCAAATGAGTACTCCATGTGATAAATGCATGAGTTACTTAACATTTTAACCAGTTGGCATAAATGCAAACTAATGGATAAAAATCATTTAAATCATACATTATTTGGGCCAGGGATTTAGCTCAGGGGCACTGCGCCTGCCTTGTAAATGCAAGGACCTGAGTTCAAACCCCATACCAAAAAAAAAAATCCCCACACATTATTTGGAAAATTAAATCAAAGCATATATTCTATGTATCAGAATGTCATCCTGTATAAAAGATATACAGCTGGGTGTGATGGTACATGCCTGTAATCCCAGCCCTTGGGAAGCAGAGGCAGGAAGAATATCTTGAGTTTGAGGTCAGCCTTGACTCATAATGAGTTTAAGGCCAGCCTAAATTACAAAACAAAACCCTATCTCAAAAATAAATAAATAACCCTAACTCTAAGTAGACAAAAGTCACATGATTATCTCATTAGATGCAGAAAAAGCATCTGACAAAGTCAATACCCATTCATGATAAAAACCCTACAGAAAATTGGAATAGATGGTCTTTATCTCAATCTAATAAAAGCCATCTATGACAAACCAACAGCCAACATCATACTAAATGGACAAAAACTGAAAGGTTTCACTCTAAAATCAGGAACAAGACAAAGATGCCCACTATCATCATTCCTGTTCAACATAGTTCTGGAAAAATTAGCCAAAGCAATTAGATAAGAGAAAGAAATAAAAGGAATATGGATAGAAAAAGAAGATAAAGTATCATAATTTGCTGATGACATGATACTGTACATAGAAGACCCCAAAAACTCCACTAAGAAACTCTTAAAATCAATACCCCAATTCAGTAGCATAGCAGGACACAAAGCCAACCCTCAAATATCAATAGCATTCCTATACACAAATAACAAACTTACTGAAAAATAAATCAGGGAAACAACACCTTTCACAATAGTATCAAGAAAAATGAAATACTTAGGAATCCGTCTAAGGAACCAAATTAAAGACCTTTACATGGAAAACTACAGTACTCTAAAAAAGGAGATTAAAGAGGATATCAAAAAAATGGAAAGATATCTCATTCTTGGATAGACAGGATTGATACAGTAAAAATGGCCATACTTCCAAGACTATTATACAGATTTAATGCAATTCCAATCAAAACACCAATAGCATACCTCATAGAATTAGAGAAAATAATCCTAAAATTCATATGGAACCAGAGAAGACCCAGAATACCAAAAGCAATATTGGGCAACAAGGGCAAGACAAGGCATCATAATCCCTGACTTGAAATTATACTACAAAGCTAAAATGATAAAAACGGCATGGTACTGGAAAATAAATAGACTCAAGGATCAATGCAACAGAATAGAAGATGAAGAAACAATCCCAAGCACACTCATCTATCTTATATTTGACAGAGGGGGCAAACACCTTCATTGGAAGAAAGATAGTCTCTTTAATAAATGGTGCTGGGAAAACTGGCTTTTCACATGCTAAAGATTAAATGTAGACCCATTTCTTCCACATGTACTAAACTAAAATTGAAATGGATCAAAAATCCAAATATTAAAACAGAAGCAAGGGCCGGGGATTTAGCTCAGTGGTTTCGCTGCCTGCTGTGCAAGTGCAAGGACCCAAGTTCGATCCCTGGTACCAAAACAAACAAACAAACAGAAAAACAGAAACAATCTGCTGGGAGATAGAATAGGTAAAACTCTTGAAGACATAGGTGTAGGAAAAGACTTTATGAACAAAACTCTGATCATACAAGAAATCAATAACCGGGATCACATCAAATTAAAAAGCTTTTGCACAGCAAAAGAAACCACCAAGAGAGTGAAGAGACAGCCCACAGAAGGGGAAAAAAAAATTTTTTTTTGGTACCAGAGATTGAACTCAGGACCTTGTGCCTACGAGGCAGGTGGCAGCAGAACCACTGAATTAAGTCCCCGGCCCTGGTAAAAATTTTTTTACAAGCTACTCCTCAAAGGAGTAGCTAGAATATATAAAAAACTCAAATAAATCAGACCCCTCAAATTTAAAAAGCAATCCAAAAAATGAGTATCTGAAAGGAATAGATACTTCTCAGATGAAGAAGTACAAACAGCAAATAAATATATGAAAAAATGTTCAACATCACTGATCATTTGAGAAATGCAAATTAAAACACCACTGAGATTCCAATTCACTCCAGAAAGAAGAGGTACTGTCAAGAAATCAATCAATATCAAATGCTAAGGAGGCTGTGGGGGAAAAAGGAACCTTTCTCCATTGTTCATGGGAGAGTAAATTGGTACAACCACTATGGAAATCAGTATGGAGATTCCTCAAAAAACTAAAACTAGAGGTTTCATTTGACCTAGATATTCCCCTTCTAGGTATCTTCCCAAAAGAGTTAAAAGCATCATATTACAGTGATACATGCATACCAATGTTTATAGCAGCACAATTAGCTAAATATTAGAAACAGCCCATATGCCCATCGAAAGATGAATAAAGATAAGGTGATATTTATATGCAATGGAGTATTACTGTGCCATGAAGAAAGATAAATTTCAGCCATATGTAGGAAAATGGATGCATCTTGAGATCATAATCTTAAGTGAAATAAATCAGACACACAAGTTTAAACATTGCATGGTTCCTCTTGTGTGAGAAGCCCACGGGGTAAATAAACATAATGGTGGACAGATATTGGGAAGTAGGAAGAACATATTCTAATGGGAAGGAAAACAAGGGAGGGAAGAGGGAGAAGGGAAGGAAGGGAAAAGGGAAAAAAAGAATGGAGGGGAAAAAGTGGAAATAAAGCTTTTGTAAATGGGGAGGGGAAGAAGAGTAGAAGGGAGGAGAGGGGCATGGGAAAAAAGAATTAAAATACATTGTGTACAGTGATGAATGTGATCAATCTGTATGATAAATATTACCAATAAAAAATAAAGTTAGAAAAATAAATAAACTTGGAAAGATGAGAGAGAGAGAGAGAAAGAGAAAGAAGGAAAAATGGAAACAAAGCTTTTGAAATGGGGGAGAAGAAAAGTTGAAGGGAGAGAAGGGGAGTAAGAAAAAAGAATTAAGATATATTATGTACAGGTACAATTCCCTATGATGAATGTGATTGTTATGTATGGCAAATATGAATAAAAAAGTCTAACTAATACTGCAAATAAAAGATATATTTGAATCATATAAATTTTCTGGTATTCTCTTTCATGGGGACCAACAAAACATATTAGTTCTAGAGTTAGCATAATTTTCACATAATGAATACAAGCTCTCCCTCTCTTCATCATTTAGTTTTAGGAAATCCAAAAAACTGAGGTAGTAATTACATTGTCAGGATCTCTTGGCCACTTTCTTAGTGCTATGACTACAGGAAATGCCTCTCTGCCCTGTCTTTCCAGGGCCCCAGGAATACTGGCCTAGCCCCTCCAGTCCCCCTTCTTTCCACAAAAGCAGATAAGGTGGTACCGTACCATAATGGTGAAGAGGCTGAATAAAAAGCTGGCCAGGAAAATGGTGATACCATAAAAATAAAGTATGCTGCAGACAGATATGTTGGCAGAAGGCAAGAGTTCAGCCATGGCTGATGGTGGTGAGTGCATCAGGATACACCTAGGAAGAGAATCAATGGACAAAGTACCACTACAGATGTAAGACATGAGACACTCAGTACAATGTAAATTTATGAGTAATTGTACTTATAATTTTGCTAACTCTTGCCTATAACATTTTGTTCCTTCCCACAGACATACTATCTTTTCATTTTATGTTACATTATTATATATTTTTAGCCATCAATACACTCTTTTTCTGTACCCATTTCTAATATAGGCACCTTGGCCACACAGTATATAGGAAGTCTTTTTCCAGCCCTGTTCCAGCCCTGTTAAGAGTCTAGGATGAAAATGATTTCCTTACCTGTGACTCTGGCTGAAGTTATGGAAACATTCACTAGCATTGCCCAGACAGAATACAGGTATCATCAATAGTAGAGGTATCAGGCTGGGAGAAAAAAAAAGTATTATCCTAATATATAGAATTTCTCATGCCTTCCCTCCTTTGCAGAATATTCCCTCCTTCCCCAACCGCATGACCCCACCAATCTCAACAAATATATACACATTTACTTTTTCAAGAAAAACATCTTCAATGCCTTAGGTATCCTTATTTTCCAGTTCTTACTTAAATGCAGTGGGAATTGGGTTTTGTACCTAGGTTAATGAACTCTTAACAGTTTCATGGAGAATCTGGTATTGTATGGTCAGATAAAAATCTAAGTGGGTCAAAGTGAAAGGAAAATCCACCATGGAGCTTATGCGGAGTCTGTCTCACTTTCCACAGTGGCCAGGAATAACTTCATTCTCACTTGCCCTTGCCTAGGTGCTTTTCCAAAGCATACCTTTACAGAGTCAGCTATTTACCCAGCTTAATATAGCCAACTTCCTGTATGAGGAGAAGGTTTAGGAGCAAAATTCACAAAATTTAAAATCATACCTGATGCAATCACCACTTTAGGTGAGATTCAGACTCTTTCAGGGTTTTATAGTACTAAGAGTCACCCAATGTTATAAAGTGGGTAAGATCTTGAAGCCCATCTATTACTAATCTTTATTATACAATAAAATGAATTAGAGGCTCAAAATCTTAGCGCTAAACTCTATAATATCAAACTGCTTCCTTAGTCTACATGGGAAGACAGAATCAATGATCACATATTTGTTGCTTCCTACTCAGTAAAACTCTGTGAGGACCTAGGAGTGACAACGGAAATAAAGACCACTGAATTATTTGTTCCCACTTGGACACCAGAAAAATCAGAGTCTATGACCTACTTGAAAGGAAAGAAAAAATATTTTTAAAGGAAAACTTATTGGTACTTTTATATATACATAATAATAACAATCATCATAGGGAATTTGTACCTCTACATGATATATCTTGTTTCTTTTTTTCCCATCCTCCCTCCCCTTCAACCTCTCTTCCCCTCCTGGAAAGAAAAATAATCTTACCTTGATAAAATGAAGGCTATCTGGCCAACTTGACAAGTATAAGCCACCACCTATGAAAATAATGAGAAAAATGTCTTAGACATTGCCGATCACAATAAATAATACTGGATCTTCACCATTCAATAAAACAAAGATGATTTCCAAGAGCCAATTTGCTTTTGTCAAACAATATTTGCTATAAAATTCATGAAGTAGATAGTTACCTAGTATTAGAGATGATTAAATTGTATCTGTATTACTATGCTCTAGAATGTATAATAAAAAGCCACAAAGAGATCCTGTAGGAAGTAACTTAACATAAGATTTGAGTACCTATAGAAATTGTCTTAGGAGAAAGGCAAATATGAAATCACAAATTAATCCTCCATCTTTTAATAACAATTTAGCCCTTTTCTCTTTTATACTCAGAAAAGTGTGGACATTTTCAGACCCTACGGATGGAATAAAATTCTGTGTATATCATGATCAGCAAAAGCACAACAGGCCAGAGTTAATATTACAGGGTAGGGTCAAATAGGCCTTTTGGATATATGATCATTAGATCCAACAAGACTGTTAGATCCAACATAAAATTCTCTACTTGTTTTCCCGGGATGTGGTGCACTGGTAGTTTGTATTTAGCATATGTGAGGCTCTAAGTCTGATCACTAGCACTGCAAAACAAACCAGAACTTCTTACTTGTATCAGACACTATAAAATAACTCAAAGAAAAAACAAACAAACAAACAAAAAAACAAAATAACTTAAAGAGCAAATGTTTTCTACTGGGACTTTATGATGAAAATTCTGAACAAAACATCTTACGGAAATGGCAGGGTAAAAAATAAGCTATTTTTTTCTGTTTTAAGGCAGAAACCATATCATACTAGAGTGATTACTAGCAATCAATAAACATTAAATGAGCAATTAATCAGTAATCAAGGAATGGTCACTGATCTGCTCTAAGAAATCTGGACCAGGAATACCAATGATTTTAGTAAGACAGCTAGTACTGACTTTAGAGAAATATGTAAAATTAGGTTTTTGGTTACCTCTCCCACCACCTCCCTAGTCTCTTTATTCTATTTTTAGGTGGCTATCTTCTCATTAATTCTTATTCTTACCTGGATGACAATAGATCTCTGACAAAAAGTCAACTAATAATAATAGTTTGTGGCAAAAGTCTTGCAAGGTATTAAAAAAATTCAAAGATGAAAAGATTTTCAAGGTTCTCAGTATATAGCTACAATGGCAGAATAATAGGCACAGGGGTTAATATTTGAATTTAGAGCTTGTCTCCTTGAAACTAGTGATGGGTTTTAAAGGAATACAGTATGTGTGTTTCTATGCATAGAAAGCAGAATGCCATATGTGAAAGGTTATGTTATGTCTCTCCAATTTCTCCTTCAAAGATGAATTTATTCTTCTCAAAAATTCTCCCATATTGTCTCCATTCTTGACTCTGGTTTCATCACAGCGACTTCTTGAGGGAATGATTCTGTGGCTGAACAACTTCTCAAAATGTCTCATGCCTGTATTCCCAGCACTCCAGAAGGCCAGGGCAGGAGAACTGTAAGATGGAGCCACGCCTGAACACCTTATTGACCTAGCAAGACCCTGTCTCAAAATTTTAAAAATATGTAAAAAGGGCTGGTGAGGTAGTTTAGTGCAAAGGCTCTGGATTCAATCCCAGTACAAAAGAAAATAATAATTCAAGTTAGTCCCTTGGCTCTTGAATGGGTGAATGAATAAAATGTGAAATAATAACCCTGTAAGGCTATTGAACTTCTTAGGCATTCATCTTCCTAAAGGGAGGAAAATGAAGTAATTGTTTCTTTGTAATATCATCCAATTCTAGGATTCTTCAGACAAGTATGTAAAATGATAAGTAGTCATGGATCCTTACTAACTTGTAGGGAACAGAGAAACTGTGTAAGTTTAAGATATACGAGAGTAATCGTAAGTATGGAATGTACAGAGTTAACGTGAGAAAAGGGCAGTAGGGTACAGTCCTGGGCTCTTCAATACAACAGTCACTAGCTAAATGTAGCTAGTTAAACTAAAATGAAGATTAAATAAAATGAAAATGTTGCTAACCACATTTCAAATGCTCAGTAGTCACATATAGCTAAGGGCTACTGGACTGGACTGTGAATGAAGTATTTTGGTTATTACAAGGAGTTCTATTGAACAGCTCTTTTACAGACTGTAGTATCTGTTCAAGATTCTGCTTAATGGGCCTTTTTATGTTAATTTTCAATGATTGCCCTCCCTTTTCTCCTTACTGCTGGGTGGGGTGGTGGGGAGACATTTTAAAAGTATTCCTTCTGTCTCTCCCCTTCTTCAACAGTGAGCATCTTTAACAAAGCTAGAAAAAGGCAAGAAGAAAATCTTCTTAACTCAGTCAGATGAAGATTTTATAGAATCATAACATCTTGGTACTTGAAGGGTCATTAAAGATCAAATAAAGGGGCTGGGATTTAGCTCAATGGCGCCGCACCTGCCTGGCAAGTTCAAGGTCCTGAGTTTGATTCCTGGTACTAGAAAAAAAAAAGATCATATAGATCAACACTTCATTTTATGATGAAAAATTGAGTCCAAAGAATCCTAGGCCAGGCTTTCATGGCTTTCCTCATGATAGCCCACCCTGCGTCCTCCACAGTATACTTCCGTCTTGCCTTTTCCTCTTTTACTTGGTCCAGGCTTGCTTTGCACAGCCAGTTTCTCCCACATTCTTCACTTTCACTTTTTCAAATAAACTTTTCTACTGTAAAAAAAAAAAAAAAGTAGGCTCTATATAAAATAAATAATAGATCTGGATCTAAAAGGCAGATCTCCTGATCAAATGCCCTTTTCTAGGATCCTATAAGCAGACAAATATATACAGAGATATATAGCTATGAGTTTCTATAATTTATTCATTCAACAAATATTTATTATGCTTTGTCATGTGCTCGACAGGTTGCCACATTTTGTTTGTTCGAGAAGTGATCTCTAGGCTCTAGGAAAAAGTGTTGCGAGGGTTTCCAGGTTGTTTTACTCTATCATATCCTTAAAGAAAATTCCCCTTCAAAAAGCCATAATAGAATACTGCAGAAATAAGATTAGAATACATAGTAAGATATGTATAAGATTAACATTGTATATTTAAAGCAATGAAAATTGATATTACTAAAAATGTTATCTACCAGGGTCACACTGAAAGAATTAGAAATAAGAAACTCAATTTACTATACAATGAAATACTACTAGGCAATAAAACAGGAATGAATTATTTACACATGCTTCAATAGATGAAATTCAAAATCATTATCTGAAATCAAAGAAACTAGACACAGGAGACCATATAAAGTGTTATAGTGTTTATACGAAATATCCAGAAAAAAGAAGATCTGTAGAGATGGAAAGTAGGTTAGTGGTTTCCTAGTACAGATGGCAAGGGATTAACTGTAAAGGATATAAAAGATTTTATTGGGGTAAATATTCTGAAATTGGTTTATAATGATGATTACACAACATGGTAAATTTACCAAGAAAGCATTGAATTGTACACGTGAAATAGATAAATTATATGATATATAATACACACAAAAAAATCTAGATTAATGACTTAGAATTCTCTCTTTTATTACTGTAATGCAGGACAGTGCCTCAAATTCCGCTTGTGAATTAAAGAAGGGAGGACAACTGCTCTCTAGATCTATTTTGTTTTCTGACTAACACATATTGAGTTTCCATGCCCTTCTGTAAACCAACACATACTAAAGACATAGAAGAGTAAAACAAACGCGCTTGGAAGGCAGGTGGAGAAACCACTGAGCTAAATCCCCGGTAATGCTCCCCTTTTCTAATACCTGTAACCCCAGATCCCATGTTAGCAGACAAAGCACACTTCCCTGACTCTTCTCTGGTACCTTTTTCTTTATTCTAGTAACAATGATAGATTGGCTTGGAGTCAAAGATTTCCCTTACTGAATCAAACCAGGCAGGAATGCTAGCACTGCAAATGTTTCCAATAATAGGACATGGAGGAGCGGGGAGGAAGTGGTAGGAGAATGGAAAATCTGTGGGATCATGGTTTTTCTCTGATTAACCTCCACAGATTCACCTAGCTTGTGCTACATGCTTACACTGTCTGACAGGGATATATGGGTTTATTTTAACATGCTATTCTTAACTATTATCTCTGAATAAAACTTACCAGTGGAGATGGGCTCTGTCCACTCTGGTTGTGTTTCATCCTCAGTTCTGTGTACAGATACCAGATATAACTGATGGTGTAGAAAAATGAGGAAATGTAGAATATCTAGGCGAAAATTAAAACAACCAATCATAACTGTTTCAGTCTGACTTCCTTAAATGTATTATACTATTTTCTATATGAAATTTCTACTTGCAAGCTGTTAGTAACACACCATCTATTATGCATACCACAAAAAAGCAGGCCAAGTCCAGGAATTCTACCCAGGCCTACCTAAAACATGTACAACTTTTCCATCTTATCCTCCCCGCCCCCCCGGTACTGGGGATCAAACTCAGGACCTTGCACTTGCAAGGCAGGCGCAATGCCACTTAGCTACATTCCTGGCCCTGCATCTTATCTTTTTAACTGTTCAGAAGAACCACAGCATTATCCACCTCCTCTCATCAAACTGTTCCACTTTTATGAAGATGCCATAGAATCTTTTATTATATTTTTAATCAAAAAGGCAATAAGGATTTCCATTTCTAATAATGTTAGTTATATTAGTCCATTTTTATTACTCTAAAAAAATACCCAAGGTTGGCCACTATTTGTGGGCAGTAGAAAGGACTGAACCCAAAAGCTGGGCCAGTGCTTTACCACTGAGCCATATCTCCAACCCTTTTTATTTTATTTTGAGGCAGTCTCACCAAGTTGCCCAGGCTGTCTTTGAACTTGTACTCCTCATAGTTTTGGCAATAAAAGTCTAAGGGCCTCATCTGGTGATGACCTACTCACAGAGCTCTGGGGAGACAAGAGACAAGGAACACACAGACCTATCTGTGTCTGTGCATGTCTCTTTCTGATTTAAATGCTACCATAGGGTATTTCAACCATGGGGGATTCTAGCCTAGTGATTTTATTTTACTTCTAATAATCTCCTAATGGTCTCACTTCTAAACACCATAATCAGAGTAAGTTTCCATTCTCTTAATACCATTAATATAAAAGATGTTGGGGATTAAATTCCTGTATGTGTTGGGAGGTGTGGCATAGTCAAACCATAGTAGCCTAGATGAGTGAAGAGAATTTTTTAGTATATGTGCTGCTGAAGTGAGCATATAGCAAATCTTTTAGACTCAAGTACCTGAACTGCAACACAAAACCCACTTATTTATCACAAAGTGCCAACACTGCAATTAACCTGAATATTGAGGTTTTAGTTTACAAAAAACAACTCATTCATTAACATCTTTTGTCTTAAAAGAAAGACAAATAACATGGGTGCCATAGGTTTGCCACTACTGGTCTAGACTATTTGAATTAAACCTTCCACTAAAATTTTTGAACTAAACATGCTGAATAAAATATTTTTCAAAGATTCTTAAAAGCATTGAAGAACTGACATGATAGCAAAGAACCAACAGGACAAATTTAAGAGAGTGAATTTTGATGAGATAACAGGAATAGAATTGACCCTCCAGCCTTAAATAATTAAAAATTGGACAAAATATATGGAAATGCCTTCTTTTCAAACAGTAAACAACAAGCAGTACAGAACATCAATACCTGAAAGAAGAAAATCACAATGAGTCCTTTGCATGCCCCAAGTCCCTGGTTGAATGCAGTGAGGGGGCACTGAAACAGACTGCTGTCTTGGTGACTTGAGGAGACAGGAAGCAACTTAAATTTGTGAAGCAGGACATCAGAGAAGAGGTAGCTAAACAGAAATACAGTGCTCTAGAAATCTGCAGAGATCACTCAAGTATTTGATTAAGTACTAATCTACATGCATAGAAGAGAAAATCATGAAGACTAGAGAAGAAACCACCATAAAAGAATAGGTATAACAATCTCCAAAACTCACATAGAGCCAGGAAGAGTTTATATTCCCATCAGGCAGAGCAGTAAGATTCCCTACTACAGTACACAGGTCATAATCACAAAGAGTACTACATCAATAAGACACCAAATTCCCATACATGAAAGGCTGCCCTCATGAAATTTAACAACCAGCTTTGAAAAAGAGGCACTACTTGAAAAGATCAAAGAGATTCAGAGTTAACTGCATCCAAAATACCCTCCTAACCAACTCTAAGGAATATATTTAAAAATCTTATACCCAACAACATAAAATCCACACTGTAAGATATGCAAAGAAGCAGGAAAGTATGACCCATAAGCAAGAGAAAAATTAACCAGAGAAAAAATTATTCTGAAAAATGGACTCAGAAGGCTGAGAGATAGCTCTGCAGTAGAGTGCTTGCCCAGCATGCCTGAAACCCTGAGTTCAATCCCCCAGCACAACACACAAACACTCATGCATGCATACACAAAAGCACACACAACTGGACTCAGAAAAAAACATGGCTTAAAAATTAGTAGGCAGCCGGGCATGGTGGTGCATACCTCTAATAACAGCACTCAGGAGGCCACTCAGTTCAAGGTCAGCCTGGGCTACATAGTGAGTTGAAGGCCAGCCTGAACTATAGTGAGACCCTGTTTTAAAAAACCAAAAAATTGGCCCGGGGATTTAGCTCAGTGGTTCTGCCACCTGCCTCGCAAATGCAAGGTCCTGAGTTCGATCCCCGGTACCCCCCCCCAAAAAAAACCAAACCCCACAAAAAACCAAAAAAAGCAAAAAATAAAAAAATAGACAAAGATGTTAAAGGAATTATGACAAATACATTTCCTATGTCCAAAAAAGTAAAAAGCAAAAAGCATGAGTTTGGCAAGTAGAAAAATGAAAAATGTTTTAAAAAGCCACCCCAAACTGCTGAGTGTGGTGGTACATACCTGTAATTCCAGCACTCTGGGAGGCTGAGGAAGGAGGTTTGCAAGTTTGAGTCCAGCCTGGGCAACTTAGCAACTTAGTGAGACCCTGCTTCAAAATAAAAAATAAAAAAGGGCTAGGGATGTAGCTCAGTGCAAAGGCTCTGGGTTCAACCTCCAGGACAAGAAAACAAAACAAAACAAAAACAACCCTCCCGGGGCCGAGGATTTAGCTCAATGATTCCGCCACCTGCCTTGCAAGCACAACGTCCCAAGTTTGATCCCTGGTACCAAAAAAAAGAAAAAGAAAAGAAAAAAAAACCCCTCCCAAACTGAACTTCTAGAAATGAAGATATATATCAAATGAGAAATACAAGGAGATCAGAAACTTCAAAAGAAGGAGTAGTAAACCTAGAGACAGAAATATAAATGATCTAGGAAGAGAAAAAGATGGCAAAGTAAAGGCTGGAGGTATATCACATCTCCAGGACATGGAATTGAGACATCTGGAAAACAACAACCTGGCAAAGAGAAAAAGAATTACTCTGAGAATCAAGTAAGAGCCAATACACTTTCAATTTCTCTGAAATCACAGAGAAACTAGAGAAACCAAAGACAATGTAGAGGAAAGAACAAAGCAGTCTGAAAAGGTAACCCCACTTCCCAAGGAAGGGGATCTATCTCTGCAAACACAAAGTAAGCCTGGAGAGGGCAGGCAGTTCCAGGGAGAAACAACAGATGAACAGCACTAGTTCCAAGAAAAGCCCATGGTCACTGTAATCTGCAAATACAGTAGTGTGAGGTTTTACTCTGAGAGGGAGTCCTTCCACGTGGCGGGCTAGAGTTGAAGAAGAAATCCATTGCAATGCCTGCCATATTTGGGAATAATATGATCAGATGTCATTTAATTTTTATTTTTATTAGTATATGCTTACTGTATATAATGATTACATTTATCATGGGAAAAGCCATTTCAGTAACAGGCTACTTATTTAAGACTGAGCTATTGGGAATCAGAAGTCACAGAACAACTATACTTCAGGGTTTCTGAAATCACACTACTATGATGACTGGTTGCCAAAAGAGACAGTTATGGAAAGGGGGCAGGCCATTCATAGGTGCCCTGAGAAGTTTGAGTAGCAGTGAGCTCAGGCTGGGAAGAATAAAGAATATGGTGGTCCTGCTCTCTGTGGTGACAAGCCAGGTAAGCTGCATGTGGTTTCCTAAAAGGCTGTATCTGAAAGACCTGGCATTAAGTCCAGTGGTCCATTTGACACCACCATGCCTACTTTCACCACAAAGCTCAGTGTTCTATTTGCTTTTCCTTGTCTGCCAATGTGATCAGGGATATGGCTCAGTTGGGATGGTTGCCACATACTGGGATGTATGGATAGAGGAGACTCTGGAACAAGGAGGGTATCTCATAAGCCCATAGGCCATAAAGCTCGGTGGAGACAGCAGTGTTTTCTTGTCTGTATTATTATTGCAGGTATCTTCTCTGTTGTTAAGGGTAGTACAGCTGTAGCTTTTATTAGTTCTTATGGTATGACAATATCCAGTTTGTCTTTGATTCTATTATTACTGATAATATCTTTGCAACTGTCAATGGTGGCATAGTTGTTTCTTTAATTGGTTATATCTAGCTTGTCTTTGTGTCATCAACATTACTGGAGTTCATCTTCTACTGTCTGAGTGGTGCTGGGGATCAAGCCCCAAGTAGAAGGTTGGACACTAAGAAGACCCTCAAATATTACTCTGAATAGGTTGAACACCAAAACATAACTAAACCCAAGAATACATCACAGGGAGACAGATTCATAAAGTCAACAATAATCTACACACAACAAGACACCATGCAAGCTTGATCCTGTAGCAGCTAGATGACTCAAAAAAACCAACTGCAGAATTATAGGAATAAAGGAAAAATGAGAAGATGACTCAAAAGTTATAAAAAATTGAACCACTGAAATTATAGAAGAAAACTTTCCAAATCTAAGGAAAGAATTCAATTTTCAAGTGTAAGAGGTAGACAGAACTCCAAACAGCCATAACCAGAGAAGAATCTCTCCATGACATAATCATCAAAACTCCAGAAATTCAACAAAAGGAGAGAATACTAAAACCTGTTAGACAAAAACAGCATGTAACCTATAAAGGCAAGCCTACAAGAATACCAGCAGGTTCCTTTAAGGCCAACAGAGCTTGGAGCAAAGTTTTTTAAGCCCTAAAAGAAAACAACTGTCAATCCAGACTTCTGTATTCTGCAAAAATAGCCTTCAAAACTGATAGAGAAGTAAAGAATTTCCGTGACAAAGAAAGCCTAAAGAAATATATGACCACTAAACCACCAT